TTATGAAAAGTCTTACATCTCTTGACTTAAATGGTCTTCACAACTGCCCCCAAATGGGGAAGGCAACAAGAATTCACTAATACTGCAACAAAATGATGAACTTTGAATGGAATGCTTTACAAAGGGCTTCAGAGTTTCCTATGTATTGAACTGGACAATACATCTTTATTGAGGAAATACATTCCTGAATAATCATCTCTATGTAGAGCTCAATATGAATGTGGTCTTCAGCTTCTGAGTAACAAACTATTTGGTAGAAGTTTACTTTTGTAATTTTAATATGAGGAAATGGCAATAATCTATCTAGAGGTTCTATCACCCAAATGGCCAAATGAAAAAAAGAATATCTGCTATTGAAAATGTCTTTGTTGCAGAACTGCTCCAACCCCAGTCAGTTTTGTAGCTTGTTTGCTGGAAAAAAAATCCTTATTTATGAGATTGAAAGAACATTGTATAAAAAATTGCGTAAAAAAAGATGTGGTTTGATAATTTTCTCAACTTTTCCTTAAGTTTCTCATTTACGAAGTACTAAAATCTGAATATCATCTAATCCATGGTGTGTGGAACTGTCTCTGAGAGGGTCTGGATATTTTCAGCCCAAGGCTTGTGAGAGGACAAGATACAGTCATGAGGCAGAAATTTGGGGGTCACAGGATTATAACTGTACCTAATTTTACATTAATTATTTCTCCAAATACTTCATTAATTATACTTTTAGGACCTATTCTATCTCCTTGATGTTTCCTAACTGTTCTAATCTTCGGCATCCTAGTGCTCGCTTCAGCAGCACATATACTAAAAAAGCCAATTCTATAAAATGGGGATAATTGTTATTCAATAGGATTTCTGCAGATTAAATAAAAAGACAAAAATAAAAATTATCTTGGACTTTGTTTCCAACCATAAATATACACGAAACAATGCTTTCTCTCCCATTATAAATAACTAGAAAATATATTAAAAATTATCAATGATTTTCAGGAATTTAACAATAAGCGCTAGATAGTGATTCCCGGGGCGGGGGGCCTGGGGCGGTAATGAGTGTGATACCCCTGGATCTACCTTGCTTCCTACCAGAGGTTATTTTTGAACAATGACTTAAATCAGGGATTTGGTGATGGAAGCGAAACAAATTTGCATTCTGGAAGTCTGAGGTAGTTGAGATTTGAGGACCAGAGTACTAAAGAAGTATACACAATTAAAAAAGGTTAAGAAATCTGCATTGGAACCCATTTCAGCCTTAGGAAGCATAGAGTAAGATTCCAAAGCAAGGCTAAGAACTAGTAGGGAAAGAATGAACACCAAAGATTTGCAATCACTCATATTCTAACCAGCCACAGCAGAGATAACCTGCACTGAATATATAGGTATTCAGGCACACGAAAATTCCTGCCCTATTAACAGGACTAAGTTAAGTAGAAAATAAAGAATACATTAAGCACGCTTTCATAAAGTTTTAAAACAAGGTCCAAAAACCCAAGTTATTTTGTCAGTAATTTAACTGCCTACCAAACAAGATTTAACACTTTAAAAAAAGAGAGAGAATGTAGTTCACTCAACAACAAAATAATCACAGTGCCCATTACTCAAAAATTATAGACATCTGAAGAAGCACTGCCCTACACTCCCGTTGTTCACCGATTTTCTTGAGTGGGCACCAGTAATGTCTCCATTGTGAGACTTGTTACTGTTTTTGGCTTATCGAATATGTCACGGGGAGCTTGCCAGGCTTTGCCGTGCGGGTGGAATACTCTCGACAGCTTGCTGAGTTCTCCGAGAGAACAGAGGAATTGAACCCGGGTCGGCTGCGTGCAAGGCAAAATCCTACCCGCTACGCTATTGCTCCGGCCCATCTGAAAATGAAAAATATAAATCATAAGTATGAGAAAATATGTTTAAAGTAAACCCCAAATGGCAGAGATGCTAGAATTAGTACATGAAAACTTTAAAATTGCTACTATAAAATAAGATAAATAAAAATTTAATCATATACTCAAAATGAGTTATTTTATTTAATCTGTTTCTTTGAGCATCACCCAGTGGTGCTCAGAAGTTACTCTTGGTTTTGTGCTCAGAGGTCACTCCCAGAGATTGTTGGGGCACCAAATGTGGTGCCTGGTATTGGGCTCAGGTGGGCTAAGTGCTAGACAAGTTAACCCCTGTAACTATCACTCTGGTCCCAAAGGATCTATTTTATAGAAAATCTGAAATGAAAAAAAAAATTAAAGATCAAAAAAAAGAAATAAATAAAATAACTATTATAACCATTTTCCGGGGTTTTAAACAATGCATCAGTCAATAAGGAGAAAAAGTGAAAGTGATTAAGAAAACAGAAACAGTACAACTGCTGGTCCAGAAAATTGCAGTGTCTGAAATAAAAGTTTCACTGACTTGGACTCAGACTATTGTATGATTGAGATACTGAGGTAGGAAAAAAGAACAGTGAAAGATTGATGATATACTAAAAGGAATTATTAAAATGACCGCAGTCTTAATATTTACTTAATATTTACTTAATATCATTACTTAATATTTGTTTAAATGATAAGCCTAATGGTCCCAGTGTTTTTCATCTGATCAGCATGGAGTATGAACAATAAATACCCTGCGTTCTTCGGGACTCTGGTATGGAATCACTTTCTACTTAGCCTTCACTTGAGGAAATATGACACTACGAAAGGACAGAAAAGGGAACTGTGAACTCCTCTTCTCAGGATGCATGACTTGAAAGGTTCTCAGAAACCTCAAAGGAGCTAAATATCCAAACCACAGAACTCAACAATACTGAAATCATGAGACTCAAACTTTAGTAACCAAATGTAAAAGATGCCTGTTATTAAGATGGCAGGCTGCAGCTAGAGTGGGAGGGACGGGGTGGGAACCTGGGAACACTGGTGGAGAAAGCTGACACAAGTGGAGGGATAGGTGACGGAATACTGTATATCAGAAACTCAATTATGAAAACTTTGTAAATCAAGATGCTTTAATAAAACAAAATTTGGGGAAAAATTTTTTGGAAAAAGGATAAAAAAGAAACCTCAGGGGATGGACAACAGCACAGCGGGTAGGGCATTTGCCTTGCATGCGGCCGACCCTGGGTCAATTCCCAGCATCCTGTATGGTCCCCTGAGCACCGCCAGAAGTAATTCCCGAGTGCATGAGCCAAGAGTTAACCCTTGTGCATTGCTGAGTATGACTCAAAAAGCATAAAAAACAAACAAACAAAAAACCAGAAACCTCAAAGGAGTTCACAGAGAAATAACTCTTCCTGGCTGAATGTATTACGTAATTGTAAAACTATGTTGTTAGAAGCAGTTTGCTAATCTGGGCTCAATCCATTTTTGCCTTCCCAATTATTGGGGCAAATAAGCACATTGTTTTGTTTATTTTATTGCTTTACATGATGTCAAATTGCTTAAGTATGGCTTTGGTATAAAAATTTCACATTACACCCTTCATCATTCAAGAGGTAGTAAAAATGTGTAAAAATACAAAAAGGCATAATCTTATTAACTCCCCATTTGGCCATTCCTTTAGAGAGTTAATGTGCTTATTACACTCTCTCCCCAGACTCTTTCAAAAGTTCTTTATGATGATGATAACTTATATAACACAAGAGCCTGGGATAATAAGAATCTACTATACTGGGTAAATATTAGAATATTTGGATGAAAGAAGTTAAAGGTCATATTGAGGTTTTAACACTTAGAGCAGTTTCAAGCAGAATATGGAATGTTCGAATAATATTTAACAGTCTAGGATATTTATGGGTTTTAATAGTCTCTCTTGTATGTTGTTTCCAAGTTGGCAATAGCAAAACCATGGCAACAAGAAATTCTTCCCTGCAGTGGAGTTTATGAATGCTTTTCTGTTTTCATGACTTAACTCCTTATTTAATTTCCTGTACAGAAAAATCAGAGATTACTATAGACTGCAACACAGATGTGTTAATCCAAAGACCTTCTCAAAGAAAAACAGATCACAGGTGTCTATGAATAGATTTTGAGATAAAATTTTAAGTTGTCTCTACACAGACACCAAGTAGAAGTCAATATACTGTAACCAAATTAGACACTGTCCTTCTGTTGTCCATTGATTTGTTCAAGTGGGCACCAGTAACGTCTCACAACAAATTTTGAGACTTGTTACTGTATATTTTTTTGGCATACCAAATAGGTCACGGGTAGCTTGCAGGCTTTGCCATGAGGGCGAGATACTCTTGGTAGCTTGCTAGGCTCTCCGAGGGGCGGAGGAACTAAACCCAGGTCGGCTGCATGCAAGGCAAACACCCTACCCACTGTGCTATCTCTCCAGCCCAAATTAGATACATGAGAAGTTAAATATTTTATTACTGACTAAGGGAATGGAACTGACTTCTTATTTTTGTGAGCCAGTGCTAAACTAAGAAATTAAGGTTTCTTAATTGTTGTGCTTTTAACTAACACATTTTATGAGCCAAACAAACACCAAAATATAGAAGTCTGTTTTCTTAGAGGTCACATTAGACTATGACCAATAATAGAAAAATTAATTAAAGACATTTAATACATTTAAAATAAATGTAAGAGAGTTATACAAAAGCTCATGCGCACATCTGAGAATAATGAGAAGAATTAATGACAATAAAGAATTCTAGGGTTTATAACCAGATGGTTGTAAGTTTCTGGAATTTTTTTCATCCCTTTAGCACTTAGCTAAATATAGAGAAGTTTTTGCAACACTCTCCAGGAGCAATCCTACAGAACTTGCTTTACTCCATCCACACCTCTGATAACATTATAAATTTTTTAATGCTTGATCTTGGCTAATTTGTGATCTTCCACGGTTCTGGGGACACATCCTCTCTTTCTCTCTGACATCTCTCTTTTCCATTACCAGCATTTTTCTTTAATAAATGGCAATGTTGTTTTATGGGCAATATTGCAGATGAACATCAACACAGCAAGAGGGAAATAAGCCTAGTAGGAGGAGGGGAGGGGATTGGTATAAGTATTTCTTACTTTTGGTGTCAAGCTGTGCACGATATTTCTCAAATCCTTTGAGCCGAACCCTCTCTCCCAATAACTGAAGGAATTCCTCAAAGGCAGGGCCAGCTGATTCATTATTGTACATCTCTTCTTCAGTGCTCTGTCCACTTTTGCAGTACATGATTCCTACTTTCTGTTGATAGTTCAGCTGTGAAAACAGGCAATAAAATGCAGATAAACAAAAGCAGATTCATTTTGTCCCACATAAATGCTAACAAGTCCTGTACGCTAATGTCCATCAAACAGCTAGCATCTCTCTTCTCGCAAACCCTCTGCTTTTATTTGTCTGTCTGGTCAAAAAATTGCAATAAAGCAAGTATCTATAATTATAATCTTTATCAACTGAGAGAAAAGGCCAGAAAAACAGCTCTTGAATGTCATGACCACACATCATTAGAAAAGACAACACAGAGAAATTTCTGTTAATAGATTACAAAGTGCAAAATGAGGATATAAAAAAGCCTGACAACAAAAAACCATTTTTCTTCAAGGTTTTACCTGTGTTTTTTTTTTTAAAAAAGCCTTGGGTTAGGGTGCTTGCCTTGCACTTTGGCTGACCTGGGTTCGTTCCCAGAAATCCTATAGGTCCCCTGAGGACTGCCAGGAGTAATTTCTGAGTACACAGCCAGGAGTAAACCCTAGGCATAGGGTGTGGACTCAAAACAAAACAAAAAAATCTTCTATAAAATTCTGTTTTCCTTTTTGGGTCACACCCGGCAATGCACAGGGGTTACTTCTGGCTCTGCTCAGGGGACCATATGAAATGTTGGGAATTGAAACCGGGTTGGCCACATGCAAGGCATATGCCCTAACCACTGTACTATTGCTCCAGCCCCTCCTATGAATTTCTTTCTGAAGTTTGTTTAAAAAAAAAACTGTCCTGCACTAAAATTCATATCCTTGAATTTTGTTTTCTTGTAGAGTTGGAAAACTTATCTCCTAATGCTTAGCAATTGAAATGCACAGTTCACAGTGGACACTGCAAGCATAGATGTGAGAACACTTCAGCCAGGAGCACAAGCCATGATGAGCACATAGTGTGCACACCAGGGACGCCAGCAAAACACTGCCACCAGATGTTCAACCTCTAGTGAACACTACAAACCAATATAGGCGCCACAATCAATATCCCCCGTACCTCCAGCCCCCCACCCAATCATCCCGACAACAGCAACAAAGGAAAGAGAGGGGAAGGGTGAAAACACTAAACAAATAAAAGTGGTAGTTCTGGTGACATACCCTGTAAAAAAGAAAAAAGAAAAGATTCCTGTATAAAAATATAAACTCAAATATTCAGAGAAATAAGGACAATCTTTACCACACACATCTATTTCCAGAGCAACTCATGAAGCTTGAGCCTATAAAATTCTATCTTTTAATGAGGAGAGGTGAAAGCGGGGGGGTGGTTCCAACTGGTACTCAGAGAGAATCTGGGCCCACTCTGGCAGTATTTGGCCAAATAGGATAGGGGTTCAATGTTGGGACCTAAGAATCACTGTAGTGGTGGACAGGGGTCATCCTTGGCCACACCCTGCAGTGCCTAGTAGGTCATGTGGTACCTGGGATCAAACTTGGGTTAGCCCTATACTATTTCTCTGGCCTATAGTTTTCCTTCCAAGGGAAAGAAAAGAAGCAACATTTTATCTTTTATTTTTTTTAATTTTTAAAATTTTTTAATGAATCACCTTGAGGTATAGTTACAGACTTACAAACTTTTGTACTTATTTTTCAGTCATACAATGATGGAGTACCCATCCCTCCACCAGTGCTCATTCTCCACCACCAATGATCCCAGTATTCCTCCCACTACCTCCACCCCATCCCTCCTCCTCTGTGGCAGGGCGTTTTTTTTTGCTCTCTCTCTCTCTTTCTCTCTCTCTCTCTCTCTCCCCCCCCCCCCCCTTTTTGGGTGTTGTGGTTAAGAAGCAACATTTTAATATAGGTTATGAGTACCCAACTATATGCCAACAATCATTTTCTGTGTTTAACATATAAAAGCTTATCCTTACATGAGTCACAAAGTAAATATTAACCAGATAAGAAAAGAGAAGGCCAGAGAATGGAAGTCTATTAGGAAGAAACACAGATTCCTAAGCCATCAGTTCTGTGATTCAGGTCTGTTAACACTTTCCAAAATTCAACCACGTTTTTGTTTCTTTATTCCTGTTCTTTTAACATTATGTCCACAGCCCCATATTTGCAATTCTAAACTGGAAAGGTAAAACTGTATTTAAACAAACACACATGATTGACATTAATACTTTGATTTATTCATTTTATGTGAATATATTTTCTTGTAGAAAAATTATTATGTTTGATTGTGGGGTGTTTCCAAGACCTTATTTGGAAGACTGTTACATGATGCATACATTCTATTGCTGTTTGTAAATCTGGAAAATTCTAAATTCTAAAATATATCCTACCCCTAATTAGGGGATGAGGTTTTCTGGTTTTCATTTTTTGGGCCACAACCAACAGTGTTCACAGCTTACTTCTGCACTGCACTCAGGAGTCACTCCTGGTGGTGCCTGGGGGAAACATATGGGGTGCTGAGGATCAAACTTGGGTCGGCCATATGCAAGGCAAATGCCCTACCTAGTGTTCTCTCTCTCCAGCTCTGTGGGGTGGGGGTGGGATCTCGAACTACTCTTTCCAACTTTCTAATCCAATGGTTCATATTACTGAAAACATAGAGTATGTAATAGTGATGACTTGCTTGCTATCCCTCAATCTCCCTCACGTTATCTAATTGATAGAGAAACCTCTCAGCCTTTACCTGACATGTAGGTGTAAGTATTACAGGATTTCTGTGGTTGAACAAAAGTGACTCTACCTTATTCTGTCCACTCCAATAAGTGGAAGGTGAAATTCCAAGCCTGAAACCAACAATAGCTGCTTATTCTGGTATTGGAATAGACTGAAATAGCATACAACCTTTTATTCCTGATACTTAATCTTAGTTATTAATAAAAACACACTTATGTCTTAGCTCTTTTTTATTTTTTTAAGCATATGTAGGAAAAATAAATGAGAAGAGATCTGAGTAAAACCAACTGCATACCACAGACATTTCACCCTTTCCTCAGCTGACCTGCTTCAAATATCTGAATGTGTCCTATGCTCGGAGGAAAACTCCAAGGCAGAGATTTCATCTTGGCTACAAATTGAACTGAATACTCATCAGATCTCAAAAAATCAGTGTAATGGCAGGTTCTCTGTGCAATGCAAAAGTAATCTTCATACACAGAGTCAGATTACTACTGCCTTGTAGGGAAAGCTCCTGAGAGAGAATCAGAATCTGGAGAAAGGAGGGAGGGACTAGGAGCTATTTGCTGATTGGCTCTGTCTCCCAGATCAGCCTTATCATGAAACAAAAACAAGAAATTCACCTGTTTCATAGAAAGCATCAAAGTGACATTTGGCTTTTTAAAACTTCTTAGATAAAGGCCTAAGATTTCACTGTGCAACATTTAAATGGGTTCATTTATATGGTTCACAGCCAAAAGTAAGGAAACTTTCTCCAAACCACTGAAAACTCATAACCCAGGGACACTGAGAAAATGTGTTGCCTTTTTTGGACACATTTCTCAATCCCTAGTGAACCCCACCTGCAGATGGGAGAACAAACTGGTTTTTGCTGGTTGTAAAAGAAAGCCTCTTTTAAGAAGATGAGGACATTTGCTAAAATGTCAAATTTCCTCCGGTTTGAAACAGTGCCAAATGTCACTGCTCTCTCCTCTGAAGTGCACACACAATGTAACTGTATGTTTAGTTCCTACTTCAATTAAATCAAGGTAGGTGGCATTTTCTGACTAAAGCGCTTACAATCCTAAGTTAGCAACCATGTCCCTGCCAAAAAATGAGAAACTGTTAAGGAGGAGTTATGTAAATGTAATAAAGGAACATTTCAAGAAAAAGAGCAAATGTAAACAGAATTAGAGCTTGGTTTGGGGGTTCTGAATGGCTATAAGGTTATATAAAACAGCAGTTTTTAAAAAGCACAGACACATTGGTAAGTTTTTTTCTGTACAGATATATAATATTTTCATGTAATATTCCAAATAGAGTTTTGAAACACCAGAAGTCATGGTGAGTGCAGTTTGGGTTAAGCTATAGGTGAGGATTTTGCTTTTAATTTTAGGGTTGTTACCTTGAGATTATACTTCATATCAACTGTTCAAAGGAAATACTGATGAAATTGTTTGGTCACTCTAAAAAAGAAGTCTTATAGAGAAGGACAATGGTCAATCCAACAGGCCACAGTTTATATGTGAGATGACGGTTGCAAATCTCAACAGCAAGGAGACAATATCCACCAAAAGTGATGTTGACTGAATAATGACTCATAACTTAGCTTTTCTCCTAAGTAGTATTTAACCTAGAATCAAAGGCACAGGTACTGCATCTTCCCACATGCCAGGAAGGACTGATAGCCCTTGACAAGTGAGAACAGAACTGAGTAACCAGGCTCTCAGAGAACTTTTAGAAGTTCTGTAGCCACCTCTCTTCCCAGATGTCACAGAGATGGATTAATGGGGCAATACAGACCATGAAAACAACCCAGTTCTTACCTTATTTTTTTTTTACAAAATCACTAAAAATTTCTAATTTAATGCAAAATAATTGTTTTAATAGTCATTACAAAACAACTTTGTATATCCAATCTTTTTAAAATGTGGGCCAGCAATTGTTCAAGGGTTCTTGACTTTGTTCTGGGACATAATCACCTAGAAACCATTAGAATCTTTCAGTTCTTACATTTAATTGCTGTACCAGAGCTATGTTTGAAGTTAATTTTGCAACACTATCATGGCAAAACCATATGGAGATAATTCTGGAAAGCCTTGTGAACTATGAAGTTTTCCAGTCTGCCTGGCAGTAGCAGAAACCATTTCCAAACACCTTTAGGGACTTCTGACCCTGGCTGGTCTCAAGCATCTTCTTCCACTGTGGGCACATACTTTGCACTTTCAACTCTGTGAACCCTCACTCCTTGTATGTGGGGCCTTATATCTCAGTCTTAAATCAGAGAGGCCCCTGGGTTTTAACATGGTGTCCCTCCTTGCATTGCATCTTGAAAAATTTTCTGGTGTAAACTTACTGTTCCCTTTGTTTCCCACCTTCCAGAGATTATGATTCTTTATTAAC